GGGGGGGTTGGTGGGGGGCATGCTCCTGGAAGACTAGAGCTAATGAAAGTCCACATGTCATAGGAACATCTTTTGCTTTAAGTCTGCCTTTGTGCGTTTTTGCCCTCAAATTCCTATCTCTCGATGGTTTATTCATCGTTTAGATACCAAAGTCGTATGTCATGTTGCTTGTCAATATACAATCAGCTGTTTTTAGGATCTTTGGTGACAACCTCTGGCATCTCTGATTTTGAGGTTTTTCCAAGCTTTTGCTTCATGACATAAATACTTGTGGGGGGTAGGCTAAACCTTCATGACTTAGCCGCCGCAATTTGGAGGTAGTTTTCACAAGTCCTTTGTCATTTCAGCCTAGTATATATATATATATGTGTATCCTTCCAAAGGAAGGTGTTTGAAGGGAAGACAACCAAGAGAGGCAAGCCATCCCAGCGAAGAAACAGGTGTGCGCCCACGCACACACACAGTCCAAGATTGGAACGGGTGAGTAGACACTTATGCTGGACTCATTTGAGTCAAAGTAGATACACAGAGTTGACATTGACAGAGTTGTTGTGTGTGTTTATGCATGCCTTGAATTCATGCAAACCGTAGTGTTTTGTTGACCATGATGGAACACGTCTCACGATCAAATTTTCATTCAGGCTCTAAACACCAATCAACTGGGAGGCCCATCCATGTTTTCATTGCAGAAGAAACATGTTCAATAGCGTACGTATATTATTCAATCAAGCGCTGTTCTTAGTCACATGCCAGGAGGCCAAGAGCATGTACTGCTGCTGACTCTGTGAAGCTATCTGCAACCTTCCCAGGCACGATGCAATTCTATAAACCTCACGCCGAGTCGGTTTACTTATATAGGCCATAATTAGTCATTAGGCCTGTTTGTATCACCGCTTGACAGTTTGAGACGGGGTTGCTGTGCGAACCTCGGTGAAGACTTGTGGGCAGAGACATAGCAAGGCAGGAACGTTTTTCGATTGCTTTGTCATGACCTGTTTTCTGGGGTAGGGTGTTTTTCCTTCCCTGAATGGTGTTTCCCCTTCCCGGGGGGTTTCCCCTTACTGAACTGGTGTTGTTCCTTCCCGTATGAGTGTTTTCCTTTCCTGTATGGGTGTTTTTCCTTCCCGGAGTGCTTTTCGTTCCCTACCAAGTGTTTTTCCTTCCCTTGTTGATCTTATTGTGCTGGTATAGCGCCAAGTTCTAATACTCGCTACGTTTCCAATTGAATCTCCAGCGAAATTTCTTCGCAGCCGGTTGTTTTCAAATCTGGTGTCCGTATTTGGAAAGTCACAGCGATGTAATGTCTTCCCGCCTGTGTCTCTTATCTGTGCTACGAAACGTCACACACTAAAGATGTCAAATGTGAAGACCTTGCCACATCCACTTTTTAGACCATGTAAACAAAAGTTGAAAGCTTAAAAGGTCTAAATGTAACGTCTTTACCTCTGAGCTCTGCATAGTTCAGACAGGATAGATCAAACGAGCGAAGTTTAGACCTTTTCTTCTCCTTGTGCCCTTTCCTTTCTTTTTATTTCCTATTTCTTTTCTTTTTGCGAGAGCCGGCCGCAAGCTAGACTTTGGAAACAATACACACTTTCTAGGGAACAATAAACACCCTTTCACTTCTTCATACAAACCCGGAGCGCTGGGAACAACACACGCCTTTCAGGGAACAATAAACACCAGCGGCCCCACAAAACAACATTCAGGGCCTGAAAAACACTAGCCGGGCACGAAAACACCGCGGTGTACGGGAACGAAAAACACCAGGGGAACAAACAATTCCCAGGGAAG